CTCCAGATATGGCACCATCAGCTTACCATCTTTTTCGTTCGCTGCAACACCATCTTAATGGGAAAATGTATGCAAGTGTGGAAGATGTTAAAAAGGACATTGACATGTTTTTTGATTCAAAGCCAAGTGATTTCTTTAATCAGAGCATTAACGTCATCATCAATAAGAATGGAGACTATTTCATTTAATAAATGTTTTGTTTTGATATATAAGTTGCTCAGGTTTTTTTCATCTAAAAAAAAGCAACATTAATTTCTTCACGACCTAATGCTTAATACAGCTGGATAATATCATTGTTATTTATTTGGTGATCTAAGATACCTTTTTGCTCACATACCATTTGAGAATATTTACCTCACCATCCAAGTTAATCAGTCTGGAAAAGCAGTAGTTAAATATAGCCTTATCTATGATAGTTTCAGTTTTAATAGTGGTGGAAACAACAGAAATCTATATCTGAGTAAATAAAAGGAAGGAATGATGACATTTTAGATATTATTGTTCTATTTCTTTACCTTTAAAACAAACTAAATGAAAGTTTTATTATGCAAAGCATATAAACAATCTTGCATTATAATAAAAACAGAATATTAGTTATTTAATATGTCTTGCATTGAATTCAGGTGAAGAGCATTCAGAACAATAGCTATATAGGTATGCTATTGCAGGAAACATTGTTAATAAAATGTAATTCTGTAATGTGTTTTCAGGATAATTGAGTTTCTGTGCAACACACAGGTTAAACAAACAATATCAAACAACAATTATTCTACCATATTAAAGAAACATGCATGTACTGGTAGGGTATTTCATGTGATCTGTGCATTAAAAAAAATACATTTAATATATTACAAGTACCCTTGGTTATGATATTACCAAATGCATGAACACAGTTAATATAATAGGTTAGACTGGAAAACAACTGCCTGATAATGAAAAGATAAAGATGCCGCCTATTTCCTGAATGTTGTAAATGTTTGTTTTTCATTGCTTAGTATTTCAGAAAATGAAATGAGATTATAAGTTCATATCAATTTTGCATTACCAGTCTCTCTCTCTCTCTCTCATTAATTTTGAGTCTGCATCAACAGGGTTGGCCCAGGAAATGCACATCTGAACAGTTTTAATTGTGAAAGAAAACATTTTCATCTGTCTTATGTCATTTTAGTTAAAAGTATATGGTGGATAAACGTAACAAATAAATTGATTGATAGCTTGGAAGAAAGCACAAATAGAACTCATTAAATGTTATCTTTGCTCTAAGGAATATTTAGATACTTTTACTAACTCAAAGACCAGTTATTGTTTTCGATCTTACTATAATAAAAAATGTAATTTTTAAGTATTTGAGTTAGACAAAAGTAACATATACATGGATCAAATGTTGTAACTTGTAACTATTTCTAGCATTAGCAAGTTTTTATCTACATGATTGAGAAGTAAAAGTAATTTTGCATTCCAAAAGCTCTTTTGTGTACCAGGAAGTAAGGCTTAGCGATTGTAATTTCATTTGAGTAAGTGAAGGCTCAGTGTATATTAGAAAAATAACATTGGCTCTTAAAGTTTTTGCTGAGTTATAAAAACAGAATGCAAAAAAGGAACCAGGCAGAAAAAGGCTTACTGTCATAACCTTATAAACTTCACATTTATTCATATATAGTACAAGTGCAAATTGTTATTGTAGAAAATATAACATACCAGCATGATGTAGCTTATTCTCTTAGTTTCTGTAAGACTGAAACAACCTTTTACTTTATACAGAGTTCACCATTGAGTGTACTGTTTAGGAATCATTTGTGCTATACTAACTTAAACCAATTTATTAACAAAAACAAAAACTGTATCCTACACATTTTGAAGTGTTAATGAAATTTGGTGTTTCATTCAATCTTTATATATTTTCTTACTTTTAGGCTGCTGAAGCACTGTGTTCTGCTGGTCTGATGGATCAAGTTACTCTTCTCATTGCTAGTTGTTACACTTCATCTGAAGATCCCACACTTACATTGCAGGTATATCTTCTAGTCTGTAGAGTTTCTTTATTTTGGTGTACAGGACTGATCTTTACATTCCACAGTTACAGTTTAGGCACAATTAGTTTTAGTGGTTTGTAGTTATATCTAGATCCACACTTCTAGAGCAAATCTATCTCAAGGCTTTAAATTTTCCTACTTAATTCTAGAGTATAGTATTCATCTCAATATTGCACAGTTACAATGTGGATGGTCTTCTAGGCTGTATATTTTTATACTTAGTTCTAGAGTATAGTATTTATCTCAATAATGAGACGTCGTAGTGCATGTTGCTTTCTAGATGGTAGACTTTCTTAGTTCTTGTGTATAGTATTTATATCAACATTCCACAGTCACAGTTTAGGCCTATCTTCTAGGCTTTAAGTGTAATTAGTTTTAGTTTATGATATCTAGATTCACAGTCACGGGATTAGTGTAGCCTGGCATGAACTAGTGGTTAGGAAGCTTGACTTGCAATTTGTGAGGTCAAAGGTTAGAATCCCCATCACTGAACATGCTTACCCTTTCAGCCATGAGGGCATTATAATGTGATGGTTAATTCCACTATTTGTTGATAATGTAGCTTAAAAGTTGGCAGTGAATGGTGTTGGTCAGCTTCCCTTTCTCTAGTCTATCATTGCTAAATTAGGTATGGCTAGTACATATAGCCATCAAGTAGCTTTGTACAAATATCAAAACCAAACCAAACATAGAAGAAATGTCTTCTGGATTTCTCATTATTTATTTTAGTTGCCTAAGATTTATCTCAGGATGCCACAGTCACAGCGTAGCAATAGTTTCCTAAAGTGCTGTCATACTTATTTCTGTTGTCTAATATTGATGTTAAGATCCCATAGTTACTGCTCAGATCAAATTTTTTGATTTGTAGTTAATTCAGGCATCATTTAAGAATTTGTTTGAAATAGTTGAGTGGTTATTGATTAAACCTTTTTTAATTTGAAAACCATATAATGTTACTGCATAAAATTTTAATCCTGTTACAACCAGTGTATGTATTTGTTTGTTGTTACCTCCCCCCCCAGAAAAAAAAGGTACATGCCCCCCGGGGGCACAGTTGTATGTCTGCAGACTTACAGTGCTAGAAATCGTGTTTCAATACCTGTGGTGTGCTATCTGTATTGTGCCCCCCTTGGGTATCAAAATCTGAATTTTAGCATAATAAGCTCTCAGACTTATCACTGAGCTATAACCCTCTCACTATGGGTAGGTCAAAGTGCACGTGCTATGACTCAATTAAACTACCTTATTATCAATGTATATGAATAAAATTGGCATCAAAATGTAGTTAATAAATAAAATTTTACTATTATATAAGTTTTAAGTTCTTAATTTCATAAGGAAATATTTTTAAAAAATCCTCCGTTTCCTCTAGTATGAGAATTGTGACATTTGTTCTCTAGGTCTTCTCCCTTCTCTAATTTATTTAGTACCCCACTCTGAAGTACAGAACTTCACATAAATTACTCATTATAATATAAATATTGCCAAGGCAAAGTCTAATTTGTATAGCCTTCAATCTTATTTGTTTGTTTCCTGAGTCTAAAAGTAGAAAATCAAACCCACTTGCCATATCTTCTCTTTCAGTAATTGCCAATAGTTCTCTTTGATGTTTTATAATACTTATAACCATTAGAAAGGCAAATTTTTAATCTATCAAATGACATATTATGTTGCTTTCACTACAGAATATTGTCTATTTCATCTTCAGTTTGCAAATTTTTCTCACTATGTTCAGGCCAACAATCTTAGAGATTTATTTTAAGGCTCTTAGCCATGCTTAGAAAGCCAGTTAAATGATATTAGTTATAGGACATTGTTTTCTTTGTGCTTGTTATTAGGAGCATTATTTAAGTAAATAAAAATTTAGTGTACTAGTACCATTGGTATGAAGTAAAAATTAGGCTTAGATTTAATTGATAACCGACAGCAGAAAAACGGGAGGTCCAAGTACTGTATTTCTGGTTCTTTTACGTATATTATTTATTTATTATTATAAAAGTAATTAAATTGTAAAAACAAAACAAAAAACTTAATTGGTTAGATTAAGTAAGATAATGAAAAGTAATAATAACAATTCTTCAGTAGGTATGCTTATGAGTAGTTTGTGTGTTACATTATTCAATATGGTAATGTGTGCTATGTGTTTGCCAAGTGATTTACAACTTGTATGGTGGGATGATTAGTTAGACACTGTTCAAAGGACAATAAACCAATAAAATTAAGTATAAAGTAAAGAATACTGTTATGAGCCTTAAGTTATTTAGGCTAAATGACTCTAGTTTCATGTTACAATTTCTAATCATTCTAAAAAGAAAAAAAAAGGGAAGTATGGGTTTATTAATTTCTTTTTTTTTATGGTAGCTACAAGGTTGGTAATTTTGACCAAGGCCAAAGAGAGTTGGGGTAAAGAATATAACAAGTGAAATATAAAGTTTTACTGAAAAAGCAAACATTTGATATTTATTTAGAAGGTTTTAGAGATTATACAAATGAAATTTTCAAAGGAAGAAAAGTATTTTTAATCGTAAGACGAAAGTCACTTTGCACTCTGACTCCAGATATTCACAGACAAATACTTAGTAAAAATAGGTAATTTAAAAATCTGATTTTTTATCTATGAAAGACTTGTAATGTTTACTGAAATCTTCTCAAACATATTAAAAACTGTAGTATGGAAACTCTGGTTTCTTTGTGGTAACAAGGTTGTTCACATTGACCAACCTCGTATAGAAAGAGACAAATGAGGTGTATCTTTCAGATTTTGAGTAGTCCTCTTTGTTCGCCTTTATAATTATCGTATAGTTTTCCTGTTCAAGTATTTTATAATACCCGACCAACATTTTGTTCACCTTTCATTGATTCTTTTGTTGAGAGATTCCTGCATTTTGTTTCGAAAATGGAGAACTTTGCTCACTCGGCTCATCAAGAATAAACGTATATACTCCCTCTGCACATAAAAGTGTTGCTCCTCTGTTTCCAAACCTCTCTGCTCCCACTTTTACTGGCTGCAATGTAGACACTATATCACTAAATCTTTTTTTGGTAATATTCTGCTAAATTCCACAGTCAAGCATAGCTTTAGCAATAGATATTTTTACCTCCAAAAAATGCTGTAACATAGCCAACAAGCTGTTCCACTTTGTTTTTAAGTCGAGTTTCAACATAAGTTCCTTACCATGTTCACTGTGGATTTTATTTTTTCAGCGGAGATTTTCTAAACATTCTCACAATTTTTCTAACCTTATTAATGATCATGGAGATATTTATATTGCTACATTCATCTTCACCAATTGAATCAACAAATTTGTTAGCATCCATTACCAAATGATCTGTTATCATATCAATAGCATCTTCCACCTGTTTTAATTCTAACTCAACTTATTCATCAGACTCATCTGTTGACGCTTTGATCTCTAGTAATGTGTCACTCTTCTTGTACAAAACATCACATACAGCTAAATGTATTCCATGAGGGTAACACGTGATGATGAGTCTGACATTGACTGTTAATTAACCTTCAAAATTTAAACATTACACTTGTGCTATCTGTATTACGTGCAACTATATCTTTTTCTAACAAAAGATTAAATTCAGCTAACTTATTTCCTGCAGCCTCAGTGGCAGTTTTAGAAGTTATAGAACCAAAAATCCTCATCATTCACGAGTTCCAAAATTTACCACTTGCATGTACATTAATATTCAGGTAAAAGTAATTTTTTAGTGATGTAGACTCATCAATAGACAGACTAAACCTGGACCTTCTGCTTAACCCTGTGTTAATCTTCGAATTTATGCACTCTTTTAGCTACATCATATTTCTTGTGCACAAGATCCATAACATGGCTCAGATTTTTTTGACAAAGAGAAACCCTTTTCACATAGTAATTTTCTAACGAACTCACTCTGTGTTTTGGTGTTTGTCAAAAATTCATCAACAGCTGCAAATTTACCTATAATTTCTTCCCCTGTTTCCTTTCACATGAACCTAGTTATGTTGAACTGACTTCTTTTTTACATCACTTGATTCACTGTCATCTTCAGCAGAACACTTAACTGTAGCAGGTCTCTTGATTGTTTATTCCATAAATGACAAATCAATCACTGATAGACTATCCTCTGCACAGAATTATTGCATTACGTTTTTTACATTTGCTGGATTCTTGCTTTTTAAATTGTTCAAAGTATTGCCGTGCAAATGATTCGTTACTTCTTGGTGCATCATTTATACTGTTTGTTAATTAAGGGTGGTGAACTTGTGAGTCTGTGACTATCTACCATGATGGAAGTATCGTATAAAACTTGAAAAGGTAAGCTCGTATAGATTGAAACTGAAGCAATGATGCACGGTTAAGCATGACATGCACACAGATACACTTTCACTTGATGAGGGAAAGACCAAGACTCCCTAAGGTGCTGCCTGATCCAGGTGTGAAACTATGTACCTTGGAGTAATGTCACTGATTTGCTAGTTTCTCATTGGATGGAAGTATATCAGCTCATGTGGTATTGATGGTACCTGAAGATCTGGACAGCTGTTGATAACATCATTGAAGAAAATTTGTGTGATCTAATAAATTAGGTGTTATTTGAAGCAAGTTTAGCATGTATATGTCATTTTTTATGAGCATTTACAATGGTGTAAAAAAAGAGGTATTGTTGTTGTTATTGCACGGGAATAAAAAATTGTTTTACAATTTTTACTCAGGATAAAATATTCTACATAATTTTATTATACAGACAAATTAATAACAATGATAAAAAATACATAAACTTACCCACCTGTAATGATAAACAGCATTAAAAAATATATATACTGAAAATCAGTCAGTTGTTTCTCACCCTCCACCATTTTAAGCCCTTTTATAATAACAGCTAAATATTTTACATAGGAGCTAGCAGATACATGTAAAACTATTAGAAATAATGTGTTTAGATTGTTTGGATCTGACACACTTGTTCTAGGATTTAAGTTTATCATTTACTGTTAGTGATTCTGTTGACACATTAAAAGAGCATAATGTTTATTGAAATTAAACCATATTTATTAGATACAGATCAAAAATGATTGGGCAAGTGCTACCACCCCCACCATCCCCCCCCAGAGTATACTCTATCCTAACATTTAATAGCTAACTGAAATAAATAGATTTTGCAAAATCAAGCTCGACCAACAAAGAGGCAGAATAGTGCAGTTGAGGCAGTCAAATGTCGGTAAATTCCTTTGTGAGCCAATAAAAATTAAGATCATTCATGAAATGAATTCATGGCATATTCATAGAATAATTATTGGTACAAATCAGTTAGAGTAACAACTTCTAATATATAGAAAAGCCAGTGGATTTTGGTAACACTGCATTCCAACAATGGCTTTTATATCATGTCGCTTAGCAACAAAAGTATAAAATAAAATGTATAGACAACAAAACTGGAAAAATATTTGTTCATTTATTAATTTAGAGTCTCCGTCAATTAAATAAGTTTGTTTTTATTACAAATGTTTGTGATATGACAGAAAATAGCTTAATTCAGAAACGATTTTAGTTTAAAATTGAATCGATGTTTTTACTTTCATGAAAAATTTTATGCACTTGGCTCTAGGCTAGGTGATCCCACACTATGTCTTTACTTTATGCTTATTATACCAACACTCACTACACTTATAAGGGTTCATGATGCCCCTCCTCCTCACAACCTCCTTGCATCTCTGACACTAAAATCATAATGAGCAGACACTGGATAATGGATAAATGCATTTTGGCTTTATTGACTCCTCCTATTTCAAGAAATCAAGTGTGGTGTGACTCAAACTGGATTTCATATAGGTTAGATAAATTTATCTTGACCAATAATATTGTGAAGAAAAATTGTGATACAATGCCTGACAAAAGTAATGGTTATGCTTTTTAAAGGTGAGGTCATTGGTTACTGATAAATCTTTATCAGTTTTTGCCAGGTTTTGTATGACTTATAGCCAAAGGTGGTGGCTTTTTCCGTTTGCAAAACAAGTTGAAACTGATCAGATATATAAAATGTAACTTTCTAAAAAATAGTATTTAAAAAAATTTAATTCTAAGACAAAAAGAAGTGTTTTTTAATGTTTTTTTTTTACAAAACATTGTCAAAACAAAATTTGACAATTTAAAAAATCAAAGAAATAATAACTCAAAATCAAATTATATGAATTATTTTAAGCAGAAACTAAATAATATTCAAAAAGTTTGATTAAGTCTTTCCATTCTGAGAAGAAAAAACCAGGGTAGGTCAATGACACCTCTCTGGTGTGGCAAGTTATGCTGGAAAAATCACGAAGTACAATGGGCTAGAAGGAATATGGTAAAGAAAAAAACATCATGATTGAGGCATATTTTGTATCATGCACCTGTTATATGAATTGGAGAAACAGCTTTTTGTCACTGTAGTAAGAAGCAGTTACTTAGAAATTTGTTGTTCTGATGGTGACTTGCACTTTAAATGTTTGTTGTTCATCAAGTTTTTAAATTTTGATGATAATATTTTAACATCATTACTGCTATTAAAACAAATTGCTAGAAATCCTAGCTTTCTGGTTTTTCCATGTATTGTTATTTGTTCAAACAAGTCATAAGAAATTAACCAGTTATTTTGTGTAACTTGTTTGTGTTTTATTACTATTATTTGGAGTGTATTTCAGATCTTCACAGTTTAAATATTTATATTATTCTCAATATAAGCAGTTTGTAAGACAATACTTAGTAATTCTTGTCTTTTCTTGAGTTATGTGTGTTATTCTAGCTACTTTAAACTTGTATGTGGATTTTAATAGTGCTCGGGGAAATTGCCAGTGAAGTGGCTTGACATCTATCAACTTACTCAACAACTTGTTGCTTCTCTTCTCCAAACCTTGAAACACTTTTTTCTCAAAGATGCTCTCAATTTTGTTGGGGCTCATCTGGAGAGAATGCACAAGGTAAAGCTGTTTTACAGTAGAATATATTGAATATGTGTGTATGTGTCTTCTAGCTGTATGTTTTCTTTGTCTGACTAATGTGTTTCTCACAAACAGTATATACATTTTTCATACCTCAGCCATCCATGGTAACATCCTGTTTTTGTCTGTGTAGAAAGCTTAAAATGTATTAATGTTTTTGATAGTGTTTTACTCTAGCAAATTAGTGCTTGAGGACAATAATTTTTGTTTTTTTATGTATTTTTACTTTTAAAAAAATTAAATATATTAAAACATAGGAAAATGAAGTGTATCATATCTCATTATGTATAATCCTGTTAATTTTAATTCACCATTATAACACTGACCAACCTTGATCCATAAGGCTTGTATAAAGTATTATAATATAAAAAATTACATGCCATCTGAAAGTCATAAAGCCTTATATGTGTAGGGCCGTATAATTAACCTCGGATATTTCCTTTATTGTAGTATACTTATATGAGCATTGAAAAATAAAATTTTGCATTATGATTTTGTGTCAGAATACAGTAAAAATATAGTAACTTTACTATGACTCTAATTTACTCATTTATTTTAATAATGTTACTAAAACATTGGACTTTGTGATACTAATACTTTTATAAAATGTACAATTTTATTTAATTGTATTAATTATATGAAACTTTATTTTTTATAATATGAAAGGCATTTATTCATCAAGTCTCAAAGCTCATTGCTTGTAAATATTTTAATAACTAAAAGTACCTTAACTGAAATGATTCCAGAAACACGTAGGTTCAAGAAGTCTTGATACAAGATGATAAAAACCCTATAACCCGAGTGCTTTTGAAAGGTCCACCTTTCAAAAGGGCTCGGCATGGTCAGGTGGTTAGGGTGCTCGACTTGCAATCTGCAGGTTCAAATCCCTATCACACCAAACATGCTCACCCTTTCAGCCATAGGGGCATTATAATGTGGTGGTCAATCCCACTATTAGTTGGTAAAAGAGTAGCCCAAGAGTTGGCGGTGGGTGGTGATGACTAGCTACCTTCCCTCTAGTCTTACACTGCTAAATTAGGGACGGCTAGTGCAGATAGCCCTCGTGTATCTTTGCACATAATCTGTAACAAACAAACCTTTCAAAAGTGCTCAGGTTATAGGGTTTTTATCATCTTAACTGAAATGATGATGGAATAGCTTTAAAGAAAAAAAAGTTTATAAATCAAACCTTTATGATACAGTACATTATACTATTGTCAGAATATTTAAATCCTGCATGTAGTAATATCACAAGATGTATAAAGTAATTCGTTGAAATTTGTTAGTGCCCAATTACTTAAATGTTTACAGTTATGCTGACTGGCCATATTATTAGGACCTCTACCTAATAACAAATTGATTCACATTGCACCAACATAAAAAAACTGCTATAAGTAACTTAAGCAAGTCTTGTTGATAGTAGCACATTCACCCAAGAATATGGAGTAAAACATTCACAGCTGTTGGGAGAAGAAAATCGTGACAAGTGTAATATTTAAGTTATTTTCACAATTTCTCAGATGGATTAAGATCCAACAATTTTACTTTTTACAAAATATGATTAAAGTCATTGTAGGATTTGACAATTTTTTTATATTACCATCCCTGCTCAATATATACTGTCCCAAATAATTCACAAATTGTTATACGTCTTTAAAAGTTACAGTTTACAAGCTGGTTTAATATTAGACATCAATATACCTAAACAAAACAATGTGCAGTTTACAGGATTATTATTGCAAATGTTTGGCCTATTTCTATACACCCTCTTACAGGGGAGGGGGGCTAGAAACTGGCAATTAGCTATGTAGAATGAGTGTAATATCCCTAATTTTAACCTTCACAGAAAAGACAAAGTATTACATCTTTTTGTTGTTCCAGTCCATAGATGGGAAGTATCAGTGTGTAGGACCTACAAGGTGAACTAGCCAATTGCCTGCCAAATAACGATTACCACACAGCCATACTCACATGTTGACACTAATGTATCAAGATTTCAGACATATCAAGTTAACTAGCCCACCAGGTGAAGTTGTAACAAATTTTAGTGCAATTTTTAGTTGGCACTGACAACAGAGTATGACATTAACTTCAAGTCTTGTCATTGCTCTACTCTGGGAAAGAAGGTTAGACAACAGGAGAACTTTGGGTTGTTTCAGAGCCAGATTTCAGACATATCAAGTTAACTAGCCCACCAGGTGAAGTTGTAACAAATGTTAGTGCAATCTTTAGTTGGCACTGACAACAGAGTATAACATTAACTTCAAGTCTTGTCATTGCTCTACTCTGGGAAAGAAGGTTAGACAACAGGAGAACTTTGGGTTGTTTCAGAGCCTATCTTCATCATTGTTGAAATCCAGAATTATGGGATTGGATTAATCAGTAATAACATTTAGGTACATTCTGGTTGGATCAAGGAGCCTTTCCTTTATTAGGGCATTTTCCATTCTGTTACAACACAGCATCTCCAGTTGAAATATAAGCAGGGTCAAATGTCTCCTCTGGTTTTCTCCTTTTTTTTACCCTACAGTTATTACTGAAAATAAGGATCTAAAGTACTTCACAGACTACTTTCACATTCCAAATCTTCACTATCACTAGTTTGTGCTTTTACTGCCTTAAAAGACATGTTTTCTTGTCTGTATTTAACACAAGTAATGTTCTGAATAGCTTTCGTTGATATATTAAATTTAAAATGTTTTCTGTGTGGTGCAAATAAAGATGGTTGAATCTTTGATCACTTTTAACTGACTCAGTCAATTGGTTTACAATCTGTTGTTCATAACAAGCCTGTACAAAAAGATTTTCCTTCAGTCAGCTACCAGTGATTAATAATAAAAGCTTTCTCCAGTAGATCATAGTTTGGTGCTGATTGGCACTCTTGATAAACTGATGAAAAACAACTGAACAGCCAGTTACAGACATTTCTACTAGGTGAGCACCCAGTGACATACCCTCTTAATCTCATGGATATGTGCTCTTGCATGTTGATTTGCAGATTAACTGTAATATGACTGTATTTTTTGCATATCCAAATATATAGTGTTTGCCACATGATATGCAAAAAGCTCTAACAAAATGGCCAATCAGTTTTCTAATGATATATATTTTTTTTACCTGGTAGTTTTTGATGTATTTCTATATTGCTGAATACATTAATAAAGTATTTATTGCCAAATGGAAAGAAAAAACAGTGTGTGTGTTTCTATATATATGTATATATACCATGTGTGTATGTTACATATTTAAGTTTTGTGGACTTTAGTTAATTGAAACAGTATGTTTATATTTTTCATATTTATAGAGTTTCCAGCAAGTGATGGAGAAACCTCATAGAGCTGACATTCAGGAGACCTTAGGGACGTGTTCACTTGTTCACCAGCTGTCATATCATCAACATGCATGGAGACTAGAACATATGGCCTCCATGAATCTGCTCCTGGTAGGTGATGATAGAATACTTTCTGCTTTACACTTAACACAGATACCAATTAGACTTGAACACATGAAACGTTGAATCTGGTTCTGGTTAAATAGGATAGAATGTCAGATTTTAAAAAATAATATTATATATGTATATGGGCCCTGTTTTTTTTGCCAATTGTCAAAATAAATGGCTTTTACTTATATTATTTAATAGTATAAATATATACTATGTAGTTGTTGAGCTTAGGATTCTTCTACAGTAGGTGTCTGTGACTTGTCAGCAATAAATTCAATGACGAATAAACAGTACACACTTTACTTGTTGTCAAATAATATATATATTCTGGAACAAGTTACACATATGTACAATAAAGTGTTCACACTATAGAGAATATAAGCATATTGTAAACATTATATCAGTATATGTATAGTTTTCCTCTTCTTGTCAAAAGTCCACTTAGGCCTGTTCAATTACTTTAGAATCTCTGTTGAAAAGCTAAACTATTTTCTCTGATACTATCGCAATATTAGTCTGGTGTGATTGCTTACAATTGTGGTTTTTCTTCTGAAGATCCTGTGTTCCCTTTGTCAAAGTGCACTCAGGCTAATTCAGTTACTTTAAAAATTCGCTTTGACGGAATAAACTTATTTTTTATTTATTTTATTTTCTACTGTTTGTTTCACTCTAACATATATATCAAATGTTAGGCATATCACTTTTATGTTACTTAACTTCACACCAAATATATTCTCTTTGCTTTTATCTGTCTAATACTGTCTGTCTGTCTGCGTCTCATGCTATTTATTATTTACATAGTCGTCTGGCCACTTTCTATATTCTCGACACCGATTAGTTATTAACCCATTAACTGCAGATGTCTGAAGTTCTATGGCTCAGCTGCGAATGACGGAAATATCCGTCAGTCGCACATATATAACTATGCGAATGACGAAAATTACCATTTTATTGTGATTGATGGCAACTCAGTTTTATCTGTGAGTCAGAAAACGGCAACTGAGCTGCTCCTGCTGCAGTTAATGGGTTAACAAAAATCTTCTACACTTGTCTGCTTTTAACTTTTATTATAACAAAACTTAAAAATAATAAAATATTCACTCACAAATATAAGTTAATCACTATTATTTAAACCAAACAGTTTTTTATATCATGACATAGAACATTTTCACACTTAACACATACCAATTAGACTAGAAAACATGAAATGTTGAATCTGCTTCTAGTTGGTGATGATAGAATACTTTCTGCCTTACACTTAACACAGTTATTGATTAGATTAGAACACATGAAATGTTGAATCTGCTCCTAGGTGATAATAGGACACTTTCTGTTTTCCACTTAACACACATAATGATGAGACTAGAACACATGAAAGCTTCAATCTGTTGCTGCTTCTGGCAGGTGATGATGAAATACTTTCTGCTTTACATTTAACACAAATACTGATTAGACTAGAACACGTGAAACCTTGAATCTGCTCCTGATAGGTGATATGGAATACTTTTGGTTTACACTTAACACATATATTAATTTCTTCACAGTTAACCTTCTGATAAAGAGACAGTTAAAAAATTTAACATGTTGATACTTATTTTTACATAAATAACAGAAAACTATCCCCCAGTGGCAGAGATGTAAGTCTGAAGGCTTATAATGTTAAAACTGGGTTTTGATACCCGTGGTTGGCACAGCACTGATAGTCCATTGTGTAGCGTTATGATTAACTACAAACAAACAGCAGAACTCATGGTGCTGATAAAAAGTATTGCATCTGACTGGTACTCTGAAGTGAGAACCCTCATCGTACTCCAGGAGTTTAAAAAAGAAAATTAACTCCTTAAACCTGAGCAGATACTGCCATTTGTCTGGCCAAAAATCCTGATTTAATCATCAGACGCCCTCCATTGGCACAGCGATATGTCTGCGGACTTACAAGGCTAGAAACCGGGTTTCGATACCCGTGGTGGGCAGGGCACAGACAGCCCATTGTGTAGCTTTGTGCTTAATTCCAAACAAACAATAATCATCAGACAGTGACAGCTTCTGGTAACATTTATGTCTCTTTGGCTGAAAATGAATCCAAACCATGTTATTATCCACAAAATTAAGAAAATTGAAGTCTTATAAGGTATGATGATAATTATTTGAAAATCGTGAAAATAATTCTGTAAGAACATGCAAAAAATTATGGGTTTACAGAAGTAAGATCATTAGATTACATGATAGTTTTTCAATGGAAGTATCCTAAAAAATAAATATGATGAATGTGGTTCTGGCTAGCTGCAGAATTTTTGTAATACATTTGTCTTGAAATTTACAAATGAGTGTCTTTCTGTTAAAATTTAATAGAAAGTTTTAAGAAACTGAAAACTTCTAGAATGTGTATTCTTTATTTATTATTATTATTATTATAAAAGTACTAAAATGTAAAAACTAGAAATTTATTAGGTTAGATTAGGTAAGATGAAGATAAAAATAATAATAATATAATTTTTTTGATGAGGTATGCTCACAAGTAACTCATGCATTACATAATTTAATAGGGCAACATGAGCTACACATTTGCTGAGTGATTTAAAAGTTGTGTGATGGGATTATTAGTTAACATGATTCAAAAGACAATAAAACAAAAATTATGTAGATGTATACTGTTATGAGCTTTAAGCTATTTAGGATGAACATATGTACTTTCCTGTTAGAATTTGAAATCATTATAGAAAGAAAAAAGGTAATTTAGATTAATTTCATATTTTTATGGTGATTATGAGGTCAGTCAAATTGACAATATATATATATAGAATTAGGGTAGTGAAAATAAAAGATAAAATATAAAGATTTACTGAAAAAATGATTGAAACTTATTTATGAGGATTTAGAGATTACGCAAATGAAATTTGACAATTTTCAGATGAAAAATATTTTTAATCTTAACATAAAAATCACTTTGCACTCAGAGCAGTCAACACTTTGATTCCATATATTCACAGAGAAATTTTTAGTAAAAATGCTTCATTTAAAATTCAGATTTTTTGTCTACAAAAGACTTGTAATGTTTACTGAAAGGTTGCAAAATTTTGTTAAGATACATAAAACATTAAATTTTATAGTATGAAACTCTATAAAGGAGTCACGAACTCAGTTGAATGAACCAAGCCCATAGTAAGAGAGTTAAAAGGTCTTATACTTTTTTGTAACATTTTTTTTACATGATAAATTTGAAACACTAATACACCAGCTCAGTCTGATTTGTTTTACCATTTTCAGGTTTCTTTATTTTTATTGTAAATGTTTAAGTATTTATGATAATGGACTTTAAAATAGTTAGGAGAGTTCTAAAGTTAAATGAGTATTCTGAGTTGGTATATATGTTATAATCTCTGGACAGGGTTTTACATATGATGTCCATTTTAATTTTGGCTCAATCTCTTAGTATTATAGCATCAAATATTAAAGAAACATTAGAAATAATGAAGTATAAAACACAAGAAGAAGTATTAAATAGAAACAAAGGACTAGCAAGTCAATATATTGATATATGGTGAGATATATTATAATAATTATAAAAAAAAAAAGAGTACACCAAGGAAATATTTGAATTAGTGAGGAAGTGCAAAAAAAGGTAAAAGTATTAAGCATGACTTGCAAGTGTCTTGTAAGTAACTCCTGAAGATGACGTAGATCACTTTGAAACCTGTACTTGTAGAGTGTTGTTTTAAAGTGTAAGCCGTACAGCTTCAATAATGTTTTAATTGTGTAAATAGTAGACAAGTGCCGGTAATTCATATGATGTCCACTGTTAAGAAGTTTTAGATTTCAGCAAGTTAATGAATTCTACCAAAGTCTAAACATATGATATGTATTCTGATGATTTTTGTTATATTTTCAGTAAGTTAATGTTTTGTTTTGTTACGTATGATATGTCTGTATAAAATATTAGTTGCATATATATTTATCTTCTTTACTCAGGGTGACACTTGCAATGTCTGCTATGCAGCAACTGCATACCTAATCAGACCTAGTCTTCTCCAGCACTTTATAGAGGTTAGTTGCATATTTATGTCTTCCTTCTTTTTATAGCATATTCAAACACAGTTATGTTAGTACAAACCAAAAAAAAATAATGGTACTCATCCATAGCAGATATGATTATGAATAAGTGGGATGAAATGTCTTAGATTTTTATTTTATACTATTAACGTTATATCCAATAACCACTCTTCTGCAGCTCCATGATGGTAGCTGCTTTCATTTGTTGTGTTTCAGTTGCATTATACCTTTTGGTTAATATGTAATGTATTTACATTCATATCAGAGAATTTTAAATGTTGAATTTTAGGTTATAAACAACATAATACAAAGTTAGATGATACATTTAAGACACAGTATATTGCAAACTTGTTAAATCTAGGCAATTCTTATGTAGAGTATTTCGTTTTGTTGTCTGTCATATATCAAGTGTTTCAATTGTTTGAACAAATAAAAGTCTTAACAGTGACTCTGTTTTTAATTTATGATACTGCTGACCAAATGTAATGTCACTCTTGGAACTTAGTCTAAATTGAGAGAAATATTTCATATTTTATGTATTAGGTTTCAAACACTGTATTGTAAATATTTCAGTTTTTCTCACACAAGTTTTAAGTTTTCTAAATTCAAGCTAAAAAAAGTTTTATCAGGAAAGATTTTTTATATGTTTATTTACCAGCATTACTGATTACATTGTTCTTGTAGCATTCTAAGGCAGACCTAGATGAGACAAAATTAATATCAGTAACCACTCAGGCTGATCCAGACAGCCACTTTATGAAAAGATTGTTGTCCACAGAAGAGATCGAGAGACTATCCCCTCAGCTAGTTCAAGCTCAAAACAGGTGATGTACTTTATTGTTCAAACTTTCTAAGCTGAACACGTTAGTCAGACTATTGTGAAATTCAGCATAAGTCAGTTACAGCAAAGTTAGATTTTTTTAACATGTAAATCATTGTAAAATAAGAATGTTTAAGCTTTCAACATGTGCAAAGCAAAAATAACTGTTATGCCAGAATGTAAGCCAATCATATTAGGCTCTTTATTTGCTCCTTTATGATTATTTTAAGAAGAATGTGTAATAGTATTTCGATCTATAATTTCCATTGCCGACAATGTGTTTTGCTTAATACCAGAGCTAATCAGAACTAGCTGTGATAAAACAAATATGGTACCACTTTTTTTATAAAAAAAATTGTTATGCCTTTTGCTTGTGAAGCCTGATAATAGTCACATATTTGTCATGAGACAATAGTATTAGGCATATTTTATGTTAAAACACAACTTTCTTTATTTGATCCCTTAGTATTCTGACCACTACTGTGTTTGTTGTATCCATGCTGGCCTAATGAACTCTCGTATTGAGCAAAGTGCATCATTGGTAATGAATATAGGATACAAAGTATGGTTGAAATACTATTAATCACTTTTTTCCTTGGAAAAACCTTAAGAGACTGAATAAGAAATACAGCATTTTAAAACAGAATAAGCATAATAGTCTTATGACAGGTTATTAATTATAAATATCAATTTAGTTTATCTTGATATCAAAACATTGTAATATTAAAAACTGTAAGTTCAGGAGAAAAGTATTTAAGGCAAGATGAAACTAGTTTTTCTCAAAATTAGTAAATTATCTTAAGTTTGGAATTTTCATGCTAAGATTATATGAGATATATTAGTTAAAATATCAGATTTCATAATGAATGTAATAACACAAAATAGGTAAAATATGGCAAAATTATGATAATCAAGCTCAGGAAGACAAAGTAGTATAAAAACAGAATAGTTAAGCTCAAAGCAGATGAATTATAAGATCAAAATATTTAATCTCAGAACAGAAAATACTGCCAGATTATGATGGTTAAACTCACATTTAAACTCAGAACATGTGAATTATTGTAAGATTAGATAAAATAAGGTGAAAACAAATGAGTTATTGAAAGATCAGAAATAAATATTAAAGTTAATACAAATGAAAATCTGTAAGGTCAAAATAAGTTTAGAACAAGGTAAGATGTTTGATCTCCGTATTAATTAATTAAGTTCAGAACAGAGTGAAGTACCATAATAGCTAAGCTGAAAATATAATTATTTCAAGGAAGAAATAATTAGAATAATTTGGTATCCTTGACTCTCTTTTTTTTTAGTTATTTTGAAACCAAAAACTTAAAATTTGTTGACATAGCTTTAAAATTAGATGTGTTCATTTTTTTTATGGCTAAAACAAATGTAAAAATAATAAATACATAAAAAGCATAGCTGTAATGATTTGTTACCAACAAGATGTTGGGTAAGTATGCATAAAATGTGGTTTGTAATGTATTAATTGTATTTCTGTTTAAACCATAATAAAAAAATATTTAAATGGTTAATTTGTGTGTGAAAACAATGTATCACTAAAACAGTTAAAATATTTTCATGTTTCTGTGTTGTTGTTTTTAGGAATGTGTTTTGTGAAATCAAGGTTGGGAAAAATCCTTTAGACGGGCACTATACTAAATTATAACCAAAACAATGATGTGGCAGTTTATTCTTTTAGTTCAAAATTATCCAAAGAGCTAAAAGTTACTTTTCCAGCATATTCCTTCCATGAAGTCTTTTGTTAGTTGTCTTCATACTGTGGATATTTTAAATATAGCTTTAAATAACATTATAATTATTAATTCACTATAGATAAGCTGTTATTTTTGCAGCCTTTGTCAGAACTATATTGAAATTGAATATTCAATCTAATAATGATACAGCACCAAAACAATTTAGCAATGATGTATATTTAGGTAAAGTAATTAATGTCATAATAAAAAATGTAGGGTAATTGTGATGTTGGTTCATTAATAGACAAAGTATTTTAATAGTTCAACAAAGTCAGAGCATTTCGTATATTGTAGGTCAAGTCTCTGTTGTATTGAAAAAACAAGGTCTCAAAAGTGTATTGCTAATAGTGAACTTTTCCACTTGTATTTTTGTCATTAGAGTTTTGGCTTTTCACACTTCATAGGGTTTTGTTTTTGTTTTCAGGCTACTGGAGCTTCTGGCAGTAGGTCTGTCCACTCTTCAGTTGTTTAGTCCTCATTTATATGAAGTATTATCTGATCAGGTAAAAGTATGGTTGTTTTTCTCTGACAAAAGATTTATTGTAGAATGTTTACTCGCACGAAATAAAGGATTACATTTTTGGATAATTCATCTTAACATTGATTCAGATACTGAAAGATGATTTTACTCTTTATATTAAGTAATAGATTCAAAATAAATGGTAGTAACTGTTAATATAAATTATGTTGTTCTTGCTCTTTTACTGTTCTTCTCTTGGGAAATAAACTTCTCAAAAAATTTCTTTTTTTTCGTAATGCTCGAAGAATAAGTTGTGTGCGAATTAGGGACAGCATTTTGAATGGCAGTTTTTAATATTTTATCATAATCGTAAGAAAATAAATTTTGGAAGTGACTTTGGCAGATTAATGTGTTTTTAAATAAGTAACAAGATGAATGTATCATCATAGTTTATGGAATGTACTGGTATATGTGAGTTATACAATGTTGGCCTCTCATTCAAAATATAAAAAACATGATTGTAAAACATTATACTGATGGGGGTTTTTATTCATAAATGTAAATAATATTTTGTGTTTTGAAATAGGGTGTAGATGTAGGACAGTGGCAAATCATGCTGGACATAAGCTTTAGTACCCCAGGAGTGGAACACAGTGGTCCTCTAAGTTTTGGAACTATACTATCGTGTATAAATATGTGTGTTCGTGCCTTGACCAAGGTAATTGTTTTTCATTTAATGTAAATTAATGTATTCAAGAAAAGGGGGAGAAAAGGACAAACACCAAGAAGAAATCAAATTTGTTTTTTCTTTTCAAATGTGGTAAGAAAGTAACAAAATGTTAAACCAATTCTTGCAACATGTCATGAAATTTTGATTACAAGACTAGCCAGTTTATTTTCGTTTTTAAATTGTTGATAAATAAATATTTTAAGACCTTAAAATTGATATGTAGAACTTTGAAATCTATATATGTGTTATAAAAGTAGCCAGTTGAATAATGACCTCAAAAGTTGACCTAATCCTGTTAATTAGAACATTTAGTTATTATTTTTTCTTTGGTTGTTTGCTACTGCTGAAACTCAAAATTAGGTTTTTATGCATTTTAACATAGCCCAATGTGAAGATTTATTGTACATTATTATGTGTTTGAGCTGTAGATTTCTCATTTTCTCTTTCACAGCAGAGACTTAACTGCGTATTAGTGTAGAATCGTTGTTTTTATTATTTTATGTTTGGGCTTTGAGTGAATATGTGTGATAATAGCAGTTACTAGTTAACAAACCGCCCTAAGTCACTTCCTGAGATAAGGTGACAGTCAGTCCAGTTATAACCAGGCACACACACACACAGAGTTGTCAAATAATGGTTTAGATACATTCTTGTAGTATAAATAGAAAGGGGCTTTGGATTTAAGTTATGTATACTGAAGACCAGCTGTTATAGTCACGTTAAGGTTTTGAATAAATATAATGTTTCTTAGTAAACACCTGTCATACTTGTTATTTCTTTATATTGATGAATTGAATTAATCCTAAAACTACCATTGAGGTTCATGTAAATCTAGTTGAGTTTTTAAACAGTTTTCTGAACTATTTTTATACCAAATTGCTTTTATGTTTATGCCTTTTTGGTTTACAAAGGGTCCCTAATAATGTTTGATTCAAACAAAAATTCCATCAATATCGCAGACATTCCCACTAATTACTTGGGGTTTCTACATATTTTACATATAAAATGTGTGATTTCATCCCATTTTTAGTTCTCTTCTTTACACAGCAGTTTTGTAAAAATTGGCAGAAATGTAAAAAATACTCAGTATGCGGTCCACTGGTAGTGATGAGTGTACAAACAAGGCAGTTTTTTTAGAGTTATTATAATATGTGCTGAAGAACGTTTGTTATAGTTTTATTTTTTCTCTTTGCATTTAATTTGTATAAGGTGTCCTTCATAACATTTGTTGTGTGTTCTTTCTTTATATTGAGATTTTGAATAACATAACGTGTGCTGAAACTTCCTAAATTTTATTAGGGATTTCATGTACTGAACGTGTACTTGGATAGTGGTACTTTGTGATTCTCTTAGTCACAGAGTCTGGTTGAACATAGTCTGTATCTTGGGATTTTAATGTGCTCTAGAGAATTACAGTTCTTGTAACTTCTTAGGCTGTGAATGATGTTTTTTTTAGGTATCAACAGTTAATTATAAATGACATTTTTAGTGCATTGCTTTACAATGCAGTTCTTTCTCTGTGGCACGGTGGTAAGTCTGAAAGCTTACAACACTAAAAATCAGGTTTTTATACCAATGATTGCCACTGAACAGATAACCCATTGTGTAGCTTTGTGTTTTACTACAAAAAAAAATGAATAAATAATGCAGTTTTTTCTACTTCATTACCCGTGAAAAAAGAATCAGAAGGCTTGCTTGAGGACTTAAAGCAATGTACCAAGATGATTCTAAAACAATAATATATGCTAAATCTAGATGACTCGGTAAGAAAAAAAAAATAATGGAAATATATAATATAGAAAAAAAATGTATTTTGTTTTTTTTCTGAAAATTCATATTGGTAGTTTAAGCATACTTGTTTTGTCATACCTACAAAGCCATGAAAACCAAAAAAGATCACACACACACACACACTTCTTCTGTACTCATTTTTAATTTTATGCTTTATTTATTAGAATATTGCTTTCAGGAAAGAAAAACGGACATCTATCATTAAGGAGTAAAACCAAGAAACTACACTTTAAATGAAATGCCTAATTATTTCTAGAGCTTACAGTTTCTTATACTTTTGCTTCATTGTGTGCATTTTGATTTATCTTCAAATATATAGCATGAAAAGTGAATATCATGTTATCTCTATGTTTTTGTAGTTTCTGTTCAACTGCAATACATTTTTATATTTGGAAAACAGCATCAATTAAGAAGCTACTTTATTTCTATGAAAACATGCATTGCCAATATAGTGTATTGGTGATAAAATTCATGAAAGATTTTTTTAGGAATTGTACTTCTGTATTCACAGAATGAAAGAATGTCTTCTCCTGCAAAGCTGTCACATCTAGAAGGTCCTTTGCCAACAGAAAGGTATGAAATTATTTTATTTCATATTCATTTGTTGTTCCATTTAATAGCACCACTTACCTAACATGTTTGCTCCTTCAGCCATCGAGGGCATCATAATAGGATGGTCAATCCCACTATTCCTTGGTAAAAATAACCAAAGATCATGATAGAGATACTGATCTTTTGCTAGCATGATTGAGATGACTATGTGTTTTTTATTATTTTTCAGTAAATAATATTCTTTCTTAAACACATCCAGTTATTGCTACAGGAGTAAAATATGAGAGAAATATAAACTTCTTATTAGGCTCCTTATTAGTTTATTCTTGTAGAGTTTTGGATTTTAGAGCATCACAACTTTTTAATTTAACTTTCTGATTATAGGCCAACTGGATGCAACTCCTTCAAACTAACTTTAATAGTGTTATAATCTTGAAAAGTTTCTTTACCATTTAGACCATCATCTCATTTTACTTGTGCCCCTTAACTGTTAACACAGCACATATCAATGTAATTATAGTTTTTTAAAAATCTCAAGTTACATCAAAAATATTTTTCAATTATCAAGTAACATGATCATACTTAAAGTATTAATTTAGTGTCTGTGTATGTATTGTAGGTTGTTACACTTTTGATAATTAAGTAGCTTTTTCAAGTTTATTAACAAGATTTAAAAAAAAAAATGTTCAAGTTATCTATAGTAATTTGTTTTTTTCTGGAAAATTGTATCTGACAATAAAACAAAGCATCTGAATTTTTATAAAAATTATTTTTTAAAAGATATGTTATGTTTTTCTTGTTTGCCTAGGTTATCTTATGTACCTTCATTTTACAAAAAGAATTAATACAGAAGTAACATTTCAGAATTTTGTAAAAAGTATATAATTGAAAAGCTTATGCATTTATAACTAATTGTTAGTGCATTAATACTTTTAAAAAAGTAAAATGCGAAACATCAGTGATGTTATCATTTTAGGTTTTTCGGAAATTGATAATGTTATTTGAACTGATATGTTACTTTCAACACAACCATCTACTGCTTAGAACAGTTGGAACTAATTCTTAAACTACTACTGGATATTAACTTAAGCTTGTCTTCAGCTTTACCATTTTTTTATGATTAAATATTTCAGTAATGCTTTAATGCTGATTAGAATTAAATTATCATAAATACCCACATCTAGTGCAACCCTCCGTAGAGTACACAGTATGTTTTTTAGTCTCACATACTAGGAAAAATTCATTCTAACAGCTGATCGGCCTTTGTGTAGCAAGTGGTGTATTGTTGTGTTTATTAGTAACTATATGTGCATGTGTGAGTGAATATCATTGCCAACTAATTAGCCATATTTCTTAATGAACAAACAAACTCTGAACTTATGATTAACTATAATTTATATGTATGTGTTTTTATACAATGCCCTGTACATAAAGCATAGGAGAGTGACTCCGATTGAATGTTGCTGTGAATATATTGTAGCATAAGGTAGTAAAATCGTCTTACAACCCAGTGTAAGAAAGCTTTCAAAAATCGAAAATGTTTTGTCTGATTATATTTTGACTGATCATTATAATCAAATACCAGCATATAAACTGTGCAGTTCTTATGGTTAACAAAATAAACATGTTATACATGTATGGCTTGAAGCCTAAAAGATAAATGTCAGAAGTTCAGAGTTTTGTTTATTCCTCTGTGTTGTGGTTCTTTTTTTTTACTTCCAATGAACTGACAACAACAAACAATGATCATGGCAGAATATAAGATGTGCTGAGTCACCTTTCTGACTGAAAATGTTGCCCCACAAATACTGTTCCCTCATATAGTTTGCACTTCATATTTGAACCCAAAAATATTGAGAAGAAAGTGTGAATTATATGCAGGTATTTACAGTACATATGTTGGGGAATGTCAGTTTAAGCTTGTTACTTATTCAAGCTTTATCAGTTTAGAAACCTTATATCACTTATGGTATATGATTTACTTTTGTGTATTACTGACAAATTTTGGGTCTTTCTACTGCAAGGGATCTTTTTTTAGGTTAGTTAAGATTATATAAGGTAAAATAAATAATAATAATATAATAATAATGTTTCGTGAGCAGCATGTAGATAATGTAATTTGATAGTGTAACATGAGCTGCATGTGCCCCAAGTGATTTACAACTTATTATGGTGTGGATAGTAGTTATACATGTGAAAGACTTGTAACGTTAACTGAACAACTGCCAAATTTTATGAAGCTATACACACTATATTAAAAGTTAGAAGTATTAAATCTATAAAAACTTTAAACGAGTACAAAGAGGTCATATGGTCAGTCAAAATTGACCGACCCCGTGTTGAGAGGGGTTAACTGGAGACTTCTTGGGCCACGTACATTTTTGGAAACTACATGCTTGAATTTCAGATTATTACCCAAGACTTGAAACAGTTTAGTTATTACAGGACAGCACTTAAACTCTACATAAAGTTTCTGCTGTAATTAATGCCAAAGTGGATATAAGCCCACTTCCAATAAATATGGAGACCCCTAGCAATGAAACACACAACACCCCTCTTTCCCAGCACTGTTAATGTAGTGTATGTCTCTTAAAAAGAAAGTTAACCTGATGAGTGTGTGAGGTTAAATTAATTATGATTGTGTTTTAAAGATTTTTATTATAATGATATTAATTGAATTTGGAATATTTTGAATAGGTTACATCTTCAATATGTCTTAGAAACAAGCCTGACATTGTTGCTATCCCAAGCTGTGCTTTGTCTTCTTCATCCTGCATTGAAACCTAGAGAAAAACAATTACTAAGAAGAGAACTTGGTGCTGAACTGGTAAGTTTATATTGAATTTTATAATTTTGGAAGATCATTTTTTAACTTAAATACATTGTGAAAATCCCACATAAACTGTCTTATCCTTTACTTCAAAAGCAACACTCGCTAAAAGGTGGTGACCTGTTGTTCAGTCAGTTAGGGTTATTATTTAACTTCAGTCAGAGGACTAATACTGAAGCTCAGAAAGACAACTGAATCATTGAACTGTTTATTATCTTATAACTTGGATTTGTCATTTCAGTTTAGTATACTAAGAACCCAGTAGTGAAAGTGGTTACATTTGTTGAACACTGAAATTTTTTTAATTTTCTACATTATTACTTCTACATTATAGAACTATGATTAAACTTAATGTCACAAAGTCAACACACAAAGAAACTAACATCTATATTTATTAGAATGACAATCAGGCTTAAAAACATCTTACTGTTTTTCTGGTGGCTACAGGTGCTTTGAATAAGTATGTCAACAGTCGTTTAGCCACTTATAGAACTCTAAAATTTCCTAACTATTAAAGATTGACGTACAAGCGTGAGTACATAAAAAATAGGAAATAAAACCAAATAAACAAATGGTTGATATAATACTGCCTAAAACTTAGATTTGCGAGCAGTAAAAGATGTAAAAAATATTAAGAACTATGAACCATTTGTCATTAATTATTAGTCCTAACTTTATGACTAGAATCCTGCAACTTGGTAATTCTTTTTCACTTCATTTTTTCTATTCACTCATACCTTGCAGACAAAATATGGCCCATTATATTGCTTCTAAATATTGGAGGGAAAAGAGAAAAAAAGTTGAAAGGAAACTTATAATAATTTTGTCTGTTTTTCTGTTCATGTGAAAGACTATATACAGGTTGTGGTGAGACTTTCAGTTACCTACAGGTAGATCATTTTTCTTGTGATAAGAAGAAATGGGTACTATAAAACTAAAATAGTCCCTGGTGGATACGACCCCTCCCAATAATGAATTTTTTTTCTATGCATGGAACAACTTTTCATTGATCTGACCTCCCATGAGCGACTTCCTGATAGATGCAACATACGACCGTGATTTAAGAGCAGAAGGTTGTATAACGACCTCTCTATAGTGACTTTTCTTCATTTCAATAAAAACATGTAAATATGTTGCATTTCTTGTGTTCATTTATTTGATTTTACATGTACATGTGTGTACTATAATCTTAATTGGTGATGATTCAACTGTAATTTGTTGATGTCCACATTGGGTGAGTAATTAGATGCTACATCACACAATGAAAATGAATATGAAGGCTGGGAAATTTTCATATTTTATAGTAATATTCTTCAAATTATGAATATCTCTACCTCAATTATTCAATGTGATCAAAAAGATTAATAATTTAAACAGCAGTTAGTGCTTGATTACACCAGTTGACACATCAATGTTTTGATGAGTAGTGTGCAATTGGCCATGAAAGTGAGACCATGATGCATGACGTAGGTAAGTAACTCTCCTGGGTGTAGTTAATCTGAGGCTTGCTGTATAAGTACAACACATATCAAAGAAATCACTTTAAACCCAGTGGCTCAATCAAAATTCATTTGGCTTCAACTATTTCATCGCATGGGGTGAAAAGAAAATTTTCTGACCACCCCAGGTTGTTTTTGAGGCTTGAAAGATTTTTTGACCTAAATTCCTGCCACAAATTTTAATTTAAATAACTTGCCTACATTTTTGTACAAAGATAGATTCTGTCTCACAATGCCTCAAGAAAAGTGAAAATGTAAACACCTCACTTTTGCGAGCTCAAAACAAACAACAAAACTCTTTTCGACATCATATCTGCCAGACTCGCAGACATTGAAAGTGACCTGTTAAATGTGCAAAACAAATGGAGGGGAACGTTTTATTATGAAATAGATTCAGTATCAATTTGTCATATTTTACATCCATGAAATCAAAAGGTGATAAATGTTTGTTTTATGAAATAGAGATGTGATGTTTTATGAAGTAAATGTGATCAGTGAATAAATTATTTCAAATAAAACACAAACAAAACAATTAAGTTATCTTTATTGAACTGTTAACCACTGAAACTATTATTATACCAATTTGCTACATCATCATGATTACCTATACAGTATATAAACCATTATGCTCAAGCCTTGGGAATAGCAACTGGCACAGCTTGAGCTCGGTCGTTCGTTATCGTTTGAATGACAACTTCCCAGATATAACTTTTTTTTTTTATCATGGCAGACAGGTCAGTCGTATCTAAGAGGGACTACTGAATCTGTTAGGACCATGACTCCTTAGAGGTCCTTAATATATCAGCTGTTATATTTGTATAAAACCCTAACTGTAGTTTAACCTATGCATAGGGGAGGGTCAAAGTGTGCATGTCACAACCTTTTTTTTTTTACAGAGTTGCATTCAAAATGTAATAAAACAACTTTATCACCAATACATGTAAATATGCTTGGTATCAAAATGTAGTTAATAATTCAAATTTTTAGATTATCTATGTTTTAATTTCTAAATTTCAAAAAGAAATATTTAAATAAATGCTTCAATATTCACTTGTGTATCACGTGATGTCTTTGTTCCAAATTGCCCATTTTAGATTTTCTTTCTACACTTATATGATCTTCTAAGTGTCCCAAAATTACATATTTGTAATACAGATATTGACAAGCCAGAATGTTTCTAGCCTCCAAGCTTCTTGCTTTACTGAGATATAAAAAAGAAGTCAAAAGTCATATACCATGCCATTCCCATCTCATCTTGTCTTTCAAATAAATTTATTAGGCTTCAGTTTCATTGTTTACAATCAAAATGTTCAACTTTGAGCAACTAACAGAATCTTTTTAACCTATTTATAGCTTAGTTAGAAAGCCAGTTAAATTAATAGTTGTTAATAGTAAATGTTACAAGTATGTTGTACAAAAAAAATCAGATTTTTTTAATAAAGTATTTTATTAAATGGTGATTTTATTGACTGATGGCAGTCCATGTGTTGCTCCTTGAGGAAATTTTTTTTTATTTAGATTGTCTTTTCTAACTTAATAACTTTCTAAGTTTTACATTTTAGTTACTTTTGTTAAAAAATATATAATAATAAATAAAATATACACATAAAAACAAGGTTAATCTTGAGGCCTTTTTGCACTTGGTTTCGTGGTTTAGTAAGCCTATTTTATTTATCACTGTGTTGGTTGTTCAAAAGTAATTTATGCGGCTTTCAAATATGCATTTTGGAAACCAAAAAAATATATAAGGCACTGAAACAGAATGTCACCATTTATATGGCTTTCTAACTAACTTATAATAACATAGGTTAAAAAAATTCCAATACTGCCCAGAGCAGTGTCTTTAGTATAAATACAGCAAGTCCTCCCCATGAAATTTCAGCTTTGACCACTACAGCCAGTCGATTGTCTAATTTATGTAGTTTAGAATATACTTTTTCTCTTGGTTATAAAGTAGCAATGTCAGAGAGAATTATAGACATTTCTTAAAAGCTGGAAGGTGTGGAAGATATGTCAGTGTGGGTTGGACAAATATAGTGGTATTTCAATAAAGCAAGAAGATAAGAGATTGTTATGTTAATTCTAGCCTGTCAATACCATTTAATACATGTTTCTAATTGGTTTAACAAGCTTAAGCCCTTATAAAGGAAGAGAAAAAAATATAAATGATAAGTCGGTGTTCCACCATTTCATGTGACTCAGAGGTACAGATTGAGAATTTATATATATATATTTCCTTTTGAAAATAAGAATTAAAACTAATTTATTAACATACATTGAAATAAAGTAGTTCAATTAAATTTTCAATATAACTTGTGACATACTTACTTTGACCCTCCAGTGTCTATATGGCTAATACTTCTTCTATATTCTGTTTTCTATTGACATAAAAGTTTCACAGTGTTTTAAGAGCCCATGAAGTGAGTACTCCAGTTTTTCTGCCCCAGTTCCTTTACAGTATTTGAAATACCTGTACGAATTACACCACATTTACATTCAATAGAACTTTGTTATCACATATATATATATATATATTAAACTTTATATAATCAAAACTGTTACTATCATTTCAGGATAGCCTATTATCATATTAACAGTTACTCATACTTAATGTTTTACTTTGTTTCAGAATTCAGTTTTGCTGACAATGAATCGCTATCTACGAAAAGGTGCCCCTCTTTCTCCTGCAAGCTCTTCTTCTGGACTAGTCAGTCCAAGTGGTCACTCTCGAGCTGTGACACCTGTATCTGACAGACCATTTCTAAGAATGATAACTCACTTAGTGAAGAAAATTTTCAAGTAATTGTAAATATGTTTGATTTTAATAATAAATGTGAGTATTTTTTTTCAAGTGCTTCATTTTATCCAAGTTCAGTAAACTGTCCAATACTGACAAGTAACTTTAGTTAGTGAAAAGAACATTGTACATGTCTGTCTCCTTGCTGGCTTTGCTGCACCAACCCATCATAACAATTTGTGGAACCAAGGACTAGTAATTCTGGCACAATAGGTAATATAAACACTTATTCTCATACAAACATACATAAATCATTGCTCTCACATTGTTACACATACATTTCAATGTTTGTACACTACACACTTGCACATGTATATTGGGTTTTTCATATTATTATTTTATTGAGAATATGTGCTTTATTTGATTTTTATTAATAGTATAATTTAATATTTCTCTTGTTTCAATAATGTTAAAGAATAGTAGTGTTGCCCTTCCTATATCATTGTATTTTGTATTATGTTTGTGCAGTTAAACAAAAACACAGAAAAGAATAATGATACACTTTCACTTTTATTGGACAGAGTATTTCAAGAGTTGTAAACATCACAAATCCTTCTCCAGTGTTGTTTTAAATAGTTACATTTGTATTAATAAGGAATGTCATAAAATAGTGACACAGTTTCAAGTACAACATCATCGTTAAAAAGCTCAACCTGTAATCAAATGTAAACTAGCTGTTTTAAAAAAAATCAATAACTGGATCAGTCATATGCAGTTAAAACTAAAACACTGTCAATTGACAACAACAAAAAAGTAAATGAGAAGGCTGTTTTAAACAAGAAATAACATCTTGATAAGTACTAAACTTTGACTTGTTTCATATATCACATTCAGTCAAACATCGTATGAACAGAAGAGAATGAGTTGAATAAACTAATATGTGAACAGCCCATGTAAGATCTTTAGCTTATTAACCTGTAAGTATATAAAAACTTCAAGTTTCTTTCCCCTTTCTATTCAACCAAGAGGTTTAGTACCTAGAACTGAAAAAAACAGAATTCAGAACACTAAAGCCATATAACCGTAAAATCCAGTAAGAGACTCATAATTGTAGAAACATTCATTGTAAAAGGATCCACCTCCTTGATCTCGGATACCTAATTATTCTGTTTTGCCAAGTGATAAAAAAAAACTGCTCAAAGAACATTAGTTATACAAATTCCTATTAAAAACCATACTAATACATATGAAGTGTTGTCTTTCACATTTTATAGTTTATCTTGCTTATACTACATAATTTATGTGAATAAAAATTATTCATTAAACATTCAGACACTAGTTGTTTCAAGCTTTGAGGTTCATAATGGTTCATGAAAAGTATAGTAATCAAAAGTTTGTAGAAATTACAGTGTGTCATAATTAAATTTGGCCAAGTAGTAGCATTTGCTAATTGATTAATCGTCAGGCTCGTATGAGACTAATATCCTTATTTTTTATTGTTTTCTTTTCTGAAGACATTTTTGAACTGTGCTTCATTTAATATGATAGACATCTTCAGGCACAACAATATAGGATTAAGTTACTTTTATAATCTTATATTGTTATACATGAAAATGTGATAAATACTATTACATGGGTTTTTCCTTACAAATTTTTGCAAGACTACTAAATAATCTAATTCTTTGTTAAAAATAATTGTCCTTAGAATTCATGTGCTAAAATTTTAAAGATTCTTGTCACAGTGTGTAATAGATAATAATTCAATGAAAAGACAGCAGAGTGTCCTTTATTTAGCAAGAAAACATGTCATCATACTAGATAACATCTTTGCAGAGATTAAAATGTTTCATAAGGTAGAAATTTAAGTATTATAAGAAATATTAAGACCACTTTAATATAAAAAAGTCTAATTTACAGAAGTTTGGGGATATTTTTCTAATTCTATCAAGACGATGAAAAACTTGAAAAAAAAACTTTATGAGTATAAAAAGCATCAAAAGCTTTTAAGTGTGAAGTTGATATGGATGGAATTTTAAAAGAAATGCATTAAAATTATTGATAGGTTTACATTTTGAAAGAAACTGTAGAAGCACACATGCATGCTGGGCAATCAAGAAACGAAACAAATTAAGCTTATTGTACTGGGCAGTGTTTAAATGGAATGTGATGACGATACAGTAAGTTAGAGCTACACTGTTGTTTAGTCCAAACAAGGTAAACATGAACAACAGGCATCACTGTGCAATAAGTAACACTGATTATGTCTGTAGCTTGTAATAAGTAAGCAATACAGTAAGTTAGAGCTACACTATTGTTTAGTCTAAACAAGGTAAACATGAATGATAAGCCACACACCCACATCTGTGAGTTGTTTACAAGTAGAACATATGTATACAGTCATGCCAATGGAGGTAGTAATAGCTGTTTTGTTATGTGTGAGTTCAGTTGGTATGTATCTGAAGCTGAAAAAGTGAGTTGTGGCAAAGCGATGGTCAATCCCACTATTTATTAGTAAAAGAGTAACCCAAGAGTTGGCAGTGAATGCTGGTGGCCAGTTGGTCATAACTTGAAAACAAATATAATGCCCTCATGATTAAAAGGGCAACCAAGGTTGCTGGCAACAGGAATCAAACCCTCAACCTTCAGCTCACAGGACAACCACCCTAATCGGTAATTATTGGGGCTTGCTAGCCCAAAGCTGAACAAACTTGGATTAATCAGAAAAAAAAAAATCATAATGGTAATAGTTGGAGTAAGTGATGAAAATAGTAATAATAATCAGAAACACTAATTTCAGTTAGTTGATTATTTTATGTGATACTAATCAGTGCTCATAGGTAATCAGTTATATCAATTTAATTGGGCTAATCAACCTGCTCTGTGTGAACTTGTGGTGGTGGTGGTATTAAAACTGTGTCTTATTTCTTTTTGTACATTAAAAGGTAGGAAAAGATTTTCCCAAACTACTTTTTAAAAGGTCTAAGATAAAAAGTATTAATAACATTCAAGAAAGCACATATACGACACTACATATGCATTTCTTTTGATTAAAGGCACTGTTAAACTAATTTCATTAAGTTTTGATTAGGCCTAACAAAGTTTCAATGGTATTATTTTAATTAAAAGCTAAATTCTTCATTTTTCTTTTTACAGTTTTAGTGAAAGCAGGATAAAAGCTGTAATACACAAGGTTTTATAACTAACTTACGAACCACAAGAATGACTTTTAAAAGTATTATACTCTTATGTTTTAAAAAACGTGGAAATTAGTCTAAAGCCCCCCCCCCCCTTTTTTTTTTGGACCCAAAAGATACCTGCTCTTTGAATTATATCATAATTTTGATTAACACTTGAGACAATTCTAATTGCCCAGCAAGTCAGTTTTGTTTCTCCCTTATGATTTAAAGCTTTTTAAGCACATTTAAATTGTCACTGATAAATTATTTGTAGATACACTTTTTAAGAATTATTCTAAAAAAAACTTTTACTATTCGAGAAATTTAAGGTTGAATAAATATAAACTTCATTATAACAGTTTTTATCATACTTTGAATACACAAAAAAAAATGAACTGAACAATTGCTGGTCAATTTTGTTTTTGTATAAAACTGTCTTAAAATATCAAGAGTTAATACTTGTTTTACTCTTATTCCTTCTGTTTAGCATAAGATGCATTTAGACTTACTAATTTTTTTACATGCAAAATATTTTCCCCAGATGCAAGAGAGAGATCATTTTATCTCTTCCTCACTGTCCATAACTTAATAAAACGTTACTTATATTTATAAGAAGAATAACTTTACATGACTATAGTTTGAGTAGTAAGAGATGTTGTATGGCTGCACCTATGTCATACAGCAGTCAGTTTCTTGGTAATTTACATTAAACAACTATACAGAGGGATGTTCATTAGCTGTGGTAGCTTGTGTATCCAGTCACCTTGCCATTCCCAAAGTCCTCACCCTCTTGTTGCAATTCAGTTGAAATGGGATGATTTTCAAATGCAGATCTACCTAAAATTAACCCCTTCTGAAGAGTGAAATTACAAGACTCTTAACTTGAATCTTTCATATTTTACAATTACAAAAATATTAAAGGCAAGAATCATCTTAAGGAAAGTAAAATATATAGCATAAAACGGTATACATAAATCAAGGGAGTCGTTATTCCAGCACGGAAAAGAACAGCCTACCAGTCTCACAATACAAGACGTAAAGAAATGGCTTGTCATTGTAAGTAACTCAATAGCACAGTACATGTGGGACCGTCTTCTGGTATTGTAAAGAATATAATGCACATGAATTTGGCTCTGTCAAAGCAAAATGCTGAATGGAAGACCAACTGTCTAAAGCTGTACAAAGTAATTTATGGTATGTGACAAATGGAAATACACCATCACATTGGACAAAGCATACATCTGCTTAAGGATCTACAGAAGTTCTGGTAATTTGTTAATGACTGTGATCAGGGTTGTAGCTAGGATGATTTGAATGGTGGGTGGTAAAAACCATTGTACCACCACCCATTATTTTCATATTTATAATTTTAAAGACTTTGAAAATTTTTAAATTCCTTTGGAAAATCCGATAAAACACTCCACATGAGCAGTCACTAGATAAACACGTGTTTATGATGAGTCAAAAACAATTAAGGCAGAGACAAATTTTACTCTAGGCTGAGTTTTATTTTTCTGATTGATCTATCTTTAACAGCATTTAATTTATACAAATTAGTCACAATTAGATTTTTAAAAGTTTTTATGCAAAAAACACATTTATATACTGTTATGTTTTAGATATCCATAAAAGTTTGAAAATATATTTACACATCACATAAACTTTTACTGGAAAGAAAATAGGCTTTGTATAGTATCCACTGTGGATGATATTGTCTGATGTGCCACAAGTGACGTAGCGTGGCATGGGCCATTTGTTCAGTTTCTTGTACAGGTTTTTTCCTGTGGACTTTTCAGAAAAAGTGTTTGTTTCTAACAAGTTAATTGCAAAGTAAACTGTACTGCGACATCGACAAGGACATTTTTCATGCTTATGGTGAACAGTGATATTTAGTGCCAGGAAGCAGTAGTCACATTGCATGGGAGTGCTTGGTGGGCAAAACGAGTCCTGGGTGTCCCCGCCCAACGTAGCTACAACCCTGCCTGTGATATGACATTTTAAAAATGGTCCAAAGTATGTAATGAAAATTTTTCCAAGGGATTTATGGTTGTTGTAGGTTACAGCTGTAAGTTAAACATTTGGAAAGTAAAAAAAAAAATGAACAAGATGAACTCTGCATATTATCAGGCTAACATTCTGACATGAGTACAGCGAGTGCCAAGAAGTACAATCTTCGTACATATTGGATGCCAGTAAGGTATGGCCCCATGAAAACAAAAATCAGCTGTACATCCAAGTTAACAAGCCAGCTTTCCTGCAAGATGCAAGTATAGAGATGCTGGTTATTCTATTTTGGCAGAACCATCCCAGTTTTTAACTACAGATTATAACTTTACAGTTATACCTGCTGAATTCTGTTTTAATTTATACATTTTTCGGATTAGGTATAGCAATATCTGGTAAATTTGTTATTATGAATAAATGTAAATAAGATGCCATCAAGATTGTAGTCATTTAAGCATTTGTACTTCTGCATCTTTAAATCAGACTCAGATATTTTCCTAAAACTAAAAATATTTGTCAATCAGAAATCATATTGATAGTTAACCCATTCAGAAGTTTGGATTTACGTATTAGTTTCATTGAAAAGATATTGAAACAATAACAATCTAGCCAAGAATTGTGTATCCAGAAAAACAGGGAAAGAGTTCCACATCGTACAGCCATCCCTATAATAAATAAACAGACAACAAAAATCAGGGGGCAGGTTTGCTACTTAAACAATATCCTCATAGTAAAAATGAAAATAAGAAAAAATCAACCATAAGAATTACAGTATCAGAAGAAAATGCTTATAATAAGGAACTCTGGGACACAACCCTAACACTAAAATACTTCAAAAAATCTGGGATGCAAATAAAAACTACCAAAGAACAAATACCAGGTAATAAAATATTATAAAAATAAAGTTTAAAAAAAATTTACAAAAACTAATGCCAGGTAAATCTGGTGAAAAAAGTAACCTAGTGCAACTGACAAAACCTTTTGTGAAATACCATGTAAGTTTAATAGCTAAATGATATCCATAAAGTAAATTAAATATAGAACATTATCAGTGGCAAAAGCATGGAATTTTCTAGCTAACAAAAAGAATTGGGTCCTAAGAAGCAGCTACTATTCAACATAATTGCTATGTGATGTAACTTACATAAAACAGACTCGGAGCACCATGAAATACATTCAGGGCAAGGGTCTATGGGCCAGTGCCCAGTGAAGTCCCTGGGTTTTAAAGACCTAATATTATTACTTTGTATTATTACCATCATCACTTCCTTTTGTATTTGTTATATCTGCCAATTGTTGTTTGTTCTTTTTGTAATATTCATTGTGAAATATGAAAATAATGTACATCTAGCACATTTTCCAAGTTTATGCAAAGTTTAACATTTTATAATTTACAAAAGGTTATTGCTGGAATGGCAAAATGAACAAATGGGTCTAATCAGTTATTGGTATGAACAACATTGTTCCCAACCTTTCATAGCTCCTGTTTCTGGCCTGAATACACCCCATGGAAATTGACCTCTCTCACAAGTTTGAAGACCTATTTGGTATTATCAGGTAGTTAAGAGTATTGAGCACTATACACATGCCTAAAGTTTAACAAAGTAGGTGCACAGCAGTGAAATGAAGGTAAAAAATAGGGCTACCAGTTACTGTTATGCTGAAGTATTCAGATTTTGTATTTGTTTGCAATGTAATCGTTCATCAAGGAGCATAATTACTACCTTAAGAGTTCCTTAAGACTATGATTTGAATAATATTGCACTGTCCAGTCTTAACTTTTTGAAAAATATATTTCAATAAAAGATACATTAAAAATAAATAAATATATTAATCTTGTAAATAATAAGACAACTCAAAGAACCACTGTTATTTATTTCATTATATCCAATGGCTTTTAAATGCTCGTATGCTTTGCAGTTTGTAGTCGTTTTCACCAAAATTACTTTACATTTAAAATAATGTTTGTAGGTCGAATTGGAAATATACGCCTATTATGATTTTTCATGGGAGAACAAAAAATTTTCAAATTGATATAAATGTTTAATATTAGGCTTTAAATTTCTTATTAACATGACTTACCCTTTTCGTGTTATATCCTTTTGTACCGCACACAAAGTACATAGTTTCAAAAATTAAATGACAAGTTTCTTCAAAAGGTGCATTATGTATTACGAATGTTCCTAATTTTAAGGGTATACAATGATTTTTGTTTTTACACTTTACCTTATCTCGTAAGTGTTATAGTTGATAGAATAATGATGAGACGTAAAGAACATTGAAGTTGTTACAATAAAATAAACCTGAATGTTTGTTGAAAGTGAAACTCCTCCTTTTCAGTTCACTTCAGAAGAAGGAATATCAATAAAAGTGCTTGTGTTATTTACTTTATATGTGCCCCATCTCTTTTTATGATTCAACTCATTTCCGGGGATCATGGTTGAAGCTATTATCATTGTATTATCTTCCGATAAACTTTGCATTATCGTGTTTGGAAATCCTAGGATAAGCAAATGTTCTTGGATCTCCGGCAGATGGCGATGGGAAACACACAAAATAAAACAACACCATTTATGTTTTAAGATGCACAATACATTTTTTATGTGTTTCTTCCCTGGCTGCTATCTTCCATATATCACAGTTGCTTAGTATAGCAATGGGTTTTCACCCTAGTCTTGGTTGAAAAGGCCTCAAAATGGTCCACAGTTCTGGTGAGATCTCTACTCCATTCAGCTCCTGTTACCAAATCATTATTGTAAAAAAAAAAGATGTAATATTAATTCGTGCAGAATTTTAAACACTTTCAAATTTTAAATAAAGCAATAATGCAATTTTTCATTTCAATTAGTTGGTAATTTAAAGCAACTTTAACTTGTAAGATTTTATTTATGGCTCCTGTTTATATTAAATATTTTTTTCGCTGATTTTTCTCATTGTTAGATTTTTTATAATGTGTTGGTCTAAGAAATATGCACAAACTGGAGAGTATGACGCACACTAGTTAGCATTTTGAATTCAGATTTCAGTTAATGAATTACGTCTATAACAAGGTTGTAACTGAAAAATTAGCATACCAAACTATGTAGCAAAATGTGTATCTGACAGATAATGACAATAAGTTAGATACGCAGCGTACGAATTATCAGAATACAAAAGTATTTAACATCTATAAAAAAAGTTTTAAGATTTGAGGCACATTTTTGCTCCTACGCACCATCGCACTCGTAATTTGTTGGCCAGAAGCATTGTTTATCGCACGTCTTGAAATTTAGTTCGTTATAGAGCTACTTTCAATGTCGTACAATTTGCCCTAAAAAGGAATTACGACACCCGACTTTTATTATGTTTTATCTGCAGAAGATTTTTGTATCAAAACGATCTCAACACAAACATTCAATCACCTTATGTTATTTTTAAACGCCATGTGGCTTAGATAACATTACAAGTGATCATTTTTGCGGCGCCACTTATATTAAATTGATGAAATTTCCATATTTTAACAGAAATATTGACGAGAGCAATCACTCTCGCAAATAAATTTCCAGGAGTGATTTTACAAGCATGAGAGATTGATTATATTTTTAAAATAAGTGTGCTTAAAAATACAGATAGCTTAAGAAATATATGAAGCAAAAGGTAGCTTCACGTAAAGCTAACACAAATTGTAGAAAATTGTATAGGTTGTTAACTATGTAATAACTACACAAACAATTTAGTATGGCAATAATCACGTAGATTAAAAGTTAAGGAATTATGAAGTACTTAAATTTATAAATTCTGCTAATGACTTATTTGAATAAGTGAATCAAAAAATGCTTTATTGTTATTTGGCTAACCAAAGTAACCATACGGCGGGCTAATGTTAAACCAATTAGGTTAAAAGTAACTAAGAAGAGCTTTAATATACGAGGTACTGTCTTTATATACTATACATAGAGATATCCATCACTTCAACGACTTTCTTATAACCAGCTTTTTTTTTTTAGTGATGCTTCTTAACTTTTTAGGAAATTTCAATGACTTTAATTTTTAAGCAAGTACTTGACTTAATTAATGGAATCTTAGTAATTTAGTTGTATTACTCTAGATTCGTTTCGTAAAGGCCGCAACACACGAGATCTAAAACAGATTATATAATCATTTAAAAATATCAATTTTAATAACTTTATCAACAAATTGCCTTTACAAATAGTAATAATACATAAAGATCCGAAACGGTTATTTTTACTTTAAATGGCGTATAAGTACTACTTTTTTCAACAATGTTGAAAGTATTAAAACCTTGGCAAATAAAGTTGTTTCAATCAATCGGATAATTTAAATGTACTATCTTTTCTAGTTTACGATATTAGATTTGATTGTTTCCATAAATATTTATCCAGATATTAGTCTCTCGGCTTCATTTTGTTTTACAATTATTATTTCAAAAACAATAACAATAAGAAACAACCTATTGCTTCTAGTGGCCGCTTAAACAGAAGGCACACACAAAGCAACAATGATATATGACTAAATACATGCTTTAATAACAGCTATGACTGAAATAACAAAATAGCAACAAACACTATGAATCATTTTTAATCAACTAAATAGCCAAACCAACACGTTTACACGGCACTTTGTTATTATTAATTGACGAATTAAACATACAGCACAACTAGGATGGTGTAGAACTAAAAATCATGTCTACACTGGTTACCGTACAAATAGATTACATTACAAATACATCACGGGTATTGTTTTATAACGAAACATAAAAAAAGCAGGAAAGACTATTTTTCTATTCACATTCGTTCCTACTTGGGCGTGGTGTGGCCTAATGGTTAGTGTCCGAACTGTGCCTCCGAGGATTCATAGCTTGAGTCTTTTTGTTGCAAAAAATGCGCTCTGCGGTCATGGGTGCGTTATAAGACTGATGGTTAAATCCCACTCTTCAGCCACACAAGAGTTGGCGGTAAGTGTTGCTGACTAGCTCCCCTCCCTCTAGTCTATCAGTTCAAAATTAGAGACAGCTATGCGCAGATAACCCTTTTCATAACTTTCGCAAAGATTCTAAAAAAATATTTAAGCAATGCATACTGAAAAATATCGCACCAACTAAAAACTAGCAAAGAAAAAGGCAACATTAGTTGGCCAAAGAAACACCACAATTTATGTCTGAGGGTGACATCAATATTTTTTCTGACATTTATAGGTTAAAAACAAATTAAAGTGAAAGGTGGTAAACAGTTAATTGTGTTTATATGTTTTTAGTAACTTAATTACAACTAGAGTTATAAAGATGCACTGTAACCCTACTGATGAAACCCATTGTTTGATAACAGGTCTGTAACCTTCGTTACTTGAGATACGGTTCGACTGTTTGTATTTCTCGAAGCTACACAATGAGCGATCGAACCCCAAATTTTAGCTATAAATTATCATGCTTACCACTGAGAAACCGGAGAAGGACCGAGGCATACTTAAATGATGAGTAAAAAGAAACCGAAACGTAATACAATCAGACACGATTTGGTTTTTATGTCTCGCTATCGTCATTCAGACGTACGACTGACTATAGCTAGGCGCGCATTCTATCATCAGAAGCCCCCCCCTTCCCGGTGACATAGCGGTATGTCCGCGGACTTACAACGCTAGAAACCGGGCTTTAATACCCGTGGTGGGCAGAGCACAGATAGCCCACTGCGTAGTTTCATGCTTAACTTCAAGTCTAACCTAACTGCCATCACAAATGTGTTTGTTTTTTTGTGAGACACTATATTGTCAATAATATTGTGTTGAAACTCTAATTCACTTTTATTACTTCTCATGTGATTGTTACAATAAAATAATAGTTAATTTATAGTTTAATCACGCTATATTTTCCGGTTTGTTAATCTAATTTAGCAACATTTCACGTAGACGCCCATGCCCAGTTTGACTGCTCTACAAACCTGCCATTTTTCACATATTGGAAAGTACTGACAACACCGTTAAAGAAGTTTATCACTGTTAGCCATTGCGATATGGATACACAACACTGTTAGCTATGACCCATAGTAAAAATCTATAAACAGTAACACTGGGTCACCCTCACAGAACACTGTTTAACATGACACCCATGGTAAAAAACTAAACAGTAACACTGGGACAAGTACAAAGAACACAGTTTACCATGACCCATGGTAATAAAAAAAAATATTGTTACTATAGCAGAAGTCATGTGACGCTGGTAACACGTAATGAGTATCTCGAACGTTTCTGAAGGCTCGAGTGTTTGCTAGACGCCCTTTATTTTGTATATATAAGACCGGCGAGAAGTGACGGCATAAATAATTGAATAGCAGACAGGGAGATAGAGACAGATAATCGAGTCAAGCCGTAAGTAAAGTGTGTAAATCGTTGTGATTTATAGCGTGTGTTTAAGTTAAAGTGACTGTGGAAATTAAGTGTATTGCAAAGTTGAGTTGAGAAAGAAACTAGTTTTATTTAAGAAAAAACTTGTATCGCTGAAGTTTCTCGGAAAGAATTTCTATGGAAAATTAACAAACGAACGACCAGAGACGTAACAATATAAAGTAGAGTTAAATGCAGATAACCCACAACTAAAAGAATGAGAGGAATGCTAATTTTAAGGAAGTACGAGTAAAACATAGAAGAATATCTAATACTATGTGAACCACATTATGCCTGTCATATCCAGAGCCGATGAGGCCTTGCGCCAAATATTAGGGCTCACCAGTTAGCTGGAGTACGACAGATATAGTAGTATATCATCAGTTTTATGAACAAGAACAACTGTAATGGTGTGAACTAGAATGCATAAGCGAATTATAATTATTATTAATTTTATTTAAGTCATTTACAATAACACTGTAAATGTTATTATAAACGACACCAATTAAGTTTGTTACAGCTTGATCTGAAAGATATAATAAAAACCCCTATATATATATATATTTAGAGTATTTATAAGTGAACCGGGAACACAGTATCTCATAAAACATTTATTCGAAATGTGTGTATGTTTATTAGAGCAAAGCACATCGAGCTATCTGCTGTGACCACCGAGAGGGATCGAACCCCATATTTTAGCATTGTAAATCTGGAGGATTATCGCTGTCCCAGTGAGTGACTATACGAAATAAAAACAACCGAGATATCATGAAGACTAAAAGTGCTTGTTCATCAGTTTTTTTGTTGTTTGTTTTTCTTTCTGACTAATGAGTAGACTAATAACTAAAATAAGTTATTTATTTGTTTTCAATGTTGATTATTTTTAATTAACTTTATCACTCAGAAAAAGTTACGAACCAGCATTTATTGTAAATCTAGCTGATAGTGAGCCACTGATTGATATTTTAAGAACGAAGACACAATAATTTCAGTGTAGGGATTGATACATGTTAGAGATGAAGTTTAAAATGTGAAAAAAATCAATTGTATAATATGATGAAGAAAAAGAAAAGGTCGTTGAACTTGAAATAATACTGTTTATTTGATTGACTTTTTCGAATCAGTTACCTCAACCGTAGCTAAACTGGGCTTTACACGAATGGTGACACGACAAGAGTAAAACTGACAAAAAGTTTTAAACACACACACACATCTAGTCCGAGAAGCCCGGCATGGCCAAGTGGTTAGGGAGCTCGACTCCTCGTCCCATAAAACATGCTCGACCTTTGAGCCGTGGGGGCGCTATAATGTGACGTTCAATCCCACTTTTCATTGTTAAAAAAGTAGCCTAAGAGTTGGCA